AAAGATCCAAAAATACTTAAAGTTCCAAATATACTTCAAGTTCCAAAAATACTTCAAGTTCTAAAAATACTTAAAGATCCAAAAATACTTCAAGTTCCAAAAATACATAAAGTTCCAAAAATACTTAAAGTTCCAAAAATACTTAAAGATCCAAAAATACTTAAAGTTCCAAAAATACTTAAAGTTCCAAAAATACTTAAAAATACTGAAAATGGTTGGAAGATAAGGAGGAAGGACAATCAATACTGTATATAGTCAATGTGAGGTAAAGTGTGTCGCCAAGGTAACCGGTTAGAACTCTAAGTGGCGATGAGGTCTTAAAATGTATGGAAAGGGTCCAAAGATCCAAAAATACTTAAAGTTCCAAATATACCGTTCTCTGAGTTGATTCTCGCCAAGTAGCCAATATAAGGCTAAATCATCTTGCCGAATAGTGAGCCTGTGTCGATGTATGAAAACTATGTCAGAAATGGTTTATAAATGGTTCTTAAGGATTAATAAAGTCTTTACAACCTAATTATAAACCCGTCATGAATAGTTTATGTAGTCTTATTGTAAAGTGGTACCAAAGTATGTATATCGGTAGATCCCATCAGAACTCCCGGAAGCTAAAGGTGTCTCTCTTTCTTCTTCTTTCCTCAGCGAGTTCCTCCAAAGACTCAGAGTCGTCGAAGGAGGAGCCTCGGAGGAAGAGGAGAGGCGACTCTTCGTCGGAGGAAGAGGAGGAGAAAGATTCAAAGCAGAAGCGCCGACGTATCGCTCTGAAACGCAGACGAGCCTCCAAGGACGACGAGTCGGACGACGACTCTGACGCATCGTCTTCAGAAGAGGATCGACCCGTCCGGAAACGTGTGAACCGAATCGACTCTGACGATGACGAGGAGGAGGAAGAGGAGAAGGAGGAGGAGGAAGAGGAGAAACCGAAGGAGAAGAAAGCAGACGAGGAGACAAAGGGAACAGTGGACAGCACTCCAGTGGCACTGGAGTGCTGTCCACTGTTCCCTTTGTCTCCTCGTCTGCTTTCTTCTCCTTCGGTTTCTCCTCTTCCTCCTCCTCCTTCTCCTCTTCCTCCTCCTCNAGAGCGGAGCAGCGCAACTGAAATTATGAGCTTTTGACGGCGCTCTATGCATGGGGATCCCTTGAGGGGGTTACCCGACTTGTCGTTGCAGTAAATTAAAGGGTGTTCATGTTGTCGTTGCTGTGGACCTTCTTAATCTACCTTCTTTGGGGGCCCCCTTCTGGTCCAGGGCCCCAAGCAGTTGCCTGCCTTGGTGCGCCCCTGAAAGCACAACATTTGTTAAAATAAAATAACTAAAAGTACATAAGAAAAAGAAAAATTAGACGACAGCAATTACTTACAAAATATACAAAATGCAGAATGCGGATGTAAGCTACAAATAATAACAATAAAACCAACCCTCCCTCCCAGGCATAAAGATGCATTGTTTTCTTATACTTTTAATTTTTGAATGTAACATAAATTATGCAATCTTTGTTCTAACCTTTTTCATGTTTTTTTCTAAAATACTTTGTCTTTTTAAGTGAGATTTTAAAGGAATTAATTGTTTTAGTAGCCATTTTTGGCTTTTCATTTACATTGGTTTCCTCTTTTAAAAGTGCAAAGCTCCTCCACTTTAAATTCGGATGAACTGCAGATTTTTTAAATGTTTCTGTCATTTTTCATATTTTCTTGTAAACATTTCTTATTTTTCATATTTTAGATTAGTTTTATTTTTTGAGATTTGCTCATTTTCTCACAACGTAATCCTCCTACTGTGTGTTAATTATGCACTAAATCAAATTGCCTGCATGTGTAAACCTACAATAGTGGTTCAGTCAGTAGGGGCTTGGACTGGGAGCTGTAGGGTCGCCGGTTCAAGTCCCCGACCAGACCTAACATATGGAGTGTGGACTGCTACTTGGAGAGGTTCCAGTTCAACTCCTGCCCTGCCGTGGTGCCCTTGAGCAAGGCACCAGACACCCCCCCCACCCACCACTCCCATTGCGCTGTACATTTCACTGTGTGCTCTGCATTAAAAAGGGTTTCATCCCTCCCAATATTATTATTATTATTATATACACTGCAGAGGAAAATACGCTTTTTTTTTTTTTTTAAATACAGGAGAAAATAAACAGCTGGGAAAATATAATTATGATGCATAATTTGACTGTTATAATTGTATAGGTTTAACTGTAATATAACGTATGCATTTTTTGTTTTAACCTTTGTGTATTGTGTATCACTATTGCTTTATAACAGCGGATTTGTTTGTTTATTATTTTTAACCATTCTTTCCTTTTTTAATTTGTAAAACTTCTTACTAAATTCAGCACCATTTTTAATATTCTTAAAAACTGCACAGCTCTTCCACTTTAAATTCTGATAAACTTCGCATTTCTGGAAATGTTCCGAGCAGTTTTCATACGTTTATTGCACTTTCTTTTTTGTATACTTATTTTACATTTTTAAAATAGTTTTAATTCGAGTTTGCTCCTTTTTTTCAACAAATGTTCTCATATTACTGTGTTTAAATGTGCACCCTTATTCACTAAAGCAAATTGCCTGCATGTGTAAACCTACACTAGGCAATAAACCTAATTCAGAACATCACATTAGAGATAGTAAACATAGATATTGACTTTACATGTTGCGTAACAGGACGAATGGCAGTTAATTCCCCATCACAACACCCCGTCCCCCACAATGCATCACTCTCTGTGCTCCCTGTTGCATCACTGATGAGTTATTGATGTTTTCAGAGCGACCCGTTCAGCACCGCCGGCTCTCTTTCTGCAGAGGAGCGTCTGCGCGCCGCCCAGCAGCCCGTCTGCAGCCTGCAGGCTTTCCTGCAGCTGGCTGCGCAGACAGAACAGCTGGTGATCTTTGACCTCTACCGGCCCCCCAGAGGTCATCCGTTCAGAGACACCTGGATCCAGCGCACGCTGGAGGTCATCCACAACGAGTCCTCCATCAACTCCTCTCAGGTCAGTGCTCCTCCTGCTCTATTCACACTGACGGGGGGCTTCACTGAGGGGGCACTAAAGACAGAAATAATGACTAAATACTGGCTGCAGTTTGAGCCTCTAACCATCACTTAAGGTGTCTGTCTGTCTGTCTGTCTGTCTGTGTGTAGGTGCTCTGGCTGCCCTCTGACCTCCGCTCTCTGGTGCATCTCTCCGACCCTTCCCTCCAGCAGACGTCGGGCAGCCGGCTCCCCCCGGAGGATCTGCAGAGAAACAACATCCTGAGACTCAACCTGCACTACAGCGACATGTCCACTCAGAGCCCCAGGTGTGTGTGTGTGTGTGTGTGTGTGTGTGTGTGTGTGTGTGTGTGTGTGTGTGTGTGTGTGTGTGTGTGTGTTGCTCTTAGAAAAAAAATCATTGGTCCCCGGCTTGAGCTTGAATCTCAGGATCCATGTATCTGTGATCCTCTCCAGAATGGAAGTAGTCATCACATACAGAGCATCAACTAGTTCCTGAACAGTGTCCTTCACATGCTGATATCCAAGAGAGGGAGTTACACAGTCACAAGATGGAGGAATAGAAAGCAGTATTCAATGTTTACTTCAGATTAGCTCCACGTCAGAAATGATCATGCTTGTCATATGTCTCTCTCCATAGAGGCTGAATCATCATGTTAATCACATAGCTATCATATGCCTCAAACAGTCCTGATGCTCTTCTAGGTAATCACACATCCTGTCATGTTCACAGCTACAGTTGGGATACCTTTGATATCATGTGACTCTCATGTTGGAAGAGTTCATTCACTATTTTCCCAACAGTTATCATATTTTCTCTTCTCTCGTGTCTCAGTGCGTACTCAGCGGGTAACGTCAGCACTAACCTGTACGTGGTGACCCAGCCGTGGCTCTTCTCCCTCGCCTGGTGCTCAGGGGTTCAGTCGGTCACCACCAACAACCCCCAGCTGCTGAGCTCCATCACCGCCCCGCTGTTCCTCATGGTAACACTCAACCACACTGTGTACAAGTACTCTGAATGTGTACTTGAGTATTTCCATGTAATGCACCTCTTCCCCACTAAGTTTTGAAGCACAATTGTTCAATTAAATACGTATGTCCGCCAACAAAATAACTTTAATCCATTTGATATTTACAGATAGCCCCTTAATAAATGTACTGTCCATACTTTGCTTTTTATGGTATCCATTTAATAAAAAGTGCATTTAGTCTTCCTCATGGTAACACTTCACCACACTGTGTACAAGTACTCTGAATGTGTACTTGAGTATTTCCATTTTATACTAATGTACTTTAAATTCAACAATATTTGTACATACGGTCCCTTAATAAATGTTTTGTCCATACTTTGCTTTTGATGGTATCCATTTAATAATAATTTAGTTTTGCCCCGCTCTGCCTCATGGTAACACTTCACCACACTGTGTACAAGTACTCTGAATGTGTATTTGAGTGTTTGCATTGTATGTAACGTTTAACCTCTTCACCACTAAGTTTTAGATGCACAATTGTACTTTGAAATCAACGATATTTGTCCGACAGGAACAACTTTACAGTCTATTTGATATGTATAGCCCCTTAATAAATGAAATGTTCAGTTCTTTTTATGGTATTAAACATGAAGTGCATTTAGTTTGGTATGTTTCAACGCTTCTCTTCTGTATCTGTGTGTGTCTCAGAGTCCAGAGGAGTACAACCTGATGTGGATTCTCACTGATCTGCTGTCCCTGCTGCTCATCATCCTCTTCTTCATCTTCCACTGGTGATTTAAACACACAGTTTGTGCATCCTTAACTCTCACTAAAACAGCTGTAAATGTGTGTCTAATCCTTTCAAAGGAAAAGCAGCAGGACATCTTCACAATTGTTAGACAATTAGATAAACAGATCAACTCTGTGGTTGAGTCCAGTTTTTATCACCTGAGGCTCCTGTCCAAAGATTAAACCGGTTTGATCCTTTTTAGACTTTGAGCGTGTAATTCATGCCTTTGTTTCTACGCGTCTAGATTACTGTAATGCACTTTATGCCGGCC